TCCCTACTCTTTCCTACTCTTTCCTACTCTTTCCTACTCTTCCCTACTCTTTCCTACGAAATGTAAATTGTAAATTTTTTTCTACAAAAAATGATATCAATTGTTATTTGTGGCATCTCGAGTTCATTTCCTTTTCTCCCTTTTTTTTCTCTCCAAAAGTCGCTCCTTTATTTTTCAAGAGCAAAAAAAAACTGTTGAATCATTCAATGCAAATCTTTTTTTCAAAAGTTTATTTGTATTCCTTTCTTTTTGTGTTTTCTAAAAGGCATCCCCTTTCTTTGGCTCAAAATTCGACAAAATTAGACAAAAATTGACAAAAATTTTTAATCCGCTTTCTCTGAGTTTTGTTCTCATTGCGTTTTTCTAGGGTTTCCCTCTCTAAATTTATCAAAATTTTCTAAAAATAGACTGATAAGTTGTGCAGATCCGTCTCTCATTTTTGGGACTTTGCTTTCGTGGTGTTTGGGTGGAATTTTCAAAGATTTTATTGAGTATATTGTAGTCTATCATCCAGAAGAGCTATCAACTAGAATAGCTATCATCTAGAATCACAAATTGTTCCCTTTCACTTGAATCGATTCTTCGCTTCAATTTAAAAGCATATCGATTTGTTTAAATAAAAATATAAAATCTAAATGAATTTCTAGCGGGAATTTTTGATGCTAAATCTTTTCAATACCAGAATTTGTTGTTATGTTGAAGCTCATCATTTGATGGCCATCAAATCGGCCATTAAAGTAAAGTCCTAATAAGATGCTAAAAGAAATTACATGTAAAACTTTTATGATACTGATAAAGTCGACGTGTTTGTGAACATGTTGTTTGTCAACATGTTTGATATGTTTGAGCGTTAATTTTGAGGTTTTTGTCGATCAACACCAATCGGTTGGACTGATCCCGCCGCACACCATCAAGCTCTAGCTGATAGCTATTCTAGATGATAGCTATTCTGGATGATAGCTCTTCTAGATGATAGCTCTTCTAGATGATAGCTCTTCTAGATGATAGCTATTCTAGATGATAGCTATTCTAGATGATAGCTATTCTAGCTGATAACTCTTCTAGATAATAGCTATACTAGATGATAGCTATTCTAGCTAATAGTTATTCTAGCTGATAGCTCTTCTAGCTGATAGCTCTTCTAGCCGATAGCTATTCGAGCTGATAACTCTTCTAGATGATAGCTATTCTAGATGATAGCTATTCTAGATGATAGCTATTCTAGATGATAGCTCTTCTGACTGATAGCTATTCTAGATGATAGCTATTCTAGATGATAGCTATTCTAGATGATAGCTATTCTAGATGATAGCTATTCTAGATGATCCCCAGCTTACCAGCTATAATAAGGTTTAAAACAAACCTTCTGGCACACAATCCATCCAGAAAAGCCAAATTTACAATCACAACTTTTTTCTAGATAAAAATCCAGATGCTTTAACGTATAAACAACAATGAAAAGATCTCAATTAGCAGCAGAATTTGAAGCTTTTTTCCTCTTAAAAGTAAGCCTTTAAGCAACAAAACAAAACTAGATTTCCCAAGAAGGGATTGAACCCTCGACCTTTTCCTTTAGACCATTGCTTTCCTTTAGACCTTTAGACCATGCTCAAGACCATTGCTCTAACCATTGAGCTATCCAGTACAGAGGAAAGAGAAAGAGAAAGAGGGAAAGATAAGGGGGAAGAAGAAAAGAAGAAAGAAAGAAAGAAAGAAAGAAAGAAAGAAATAAAGAAAGAAAGAATTGATCAAAAGTTCCAAAAACAATAAAATAGGATTTCAAGTAAACAGCTGAATCAAATTTCTAAACAATCATAAAATTGGAATTACATTTTTCAAATCTGTAATCACCTTCAGCTTCAGAAATTTTTCCCCGGGTTTGTGAGGGAATTTTACGGGTTTGAATTTTACGATTTTTCGGCTGGGTGAAAGGGGAAGTGAAAAGAGGTTTTTTTGAGTGAAAGAACTCAAAAAAAAAAAACAAAAAATTATTAGCACGGAAATGACGGAAATCAGTGAAGAGAAAAGTGGGGAAAAGAATGAGCTCATCAAAAGAAGGAGCTCATCATTTGATGGCCATCAAATCGGTCATTAAATTCTCCGTATCCCCGTAAAAACATTGATTAAATGACCCCAAAAAGCCCATTTGAACGCTTGTGACATCGATGGGGGTGATTGGTGAATGCTGCTTAAAGCGTTGCTTAAACCGATCAAAGAGTTGACTCAGGCTTGGCTTTGCAATTGTTAAATTTGATTTTTTTGCTATAAAATACTAGTTGCATAGTGAGATTTGTAGTTTTGATTTAGTTTTGAGCTAGTTTTGATCTAGTTTTGAGCTAGTTTTGAGCTAGTTTTGAGCTAGTTTTGAGCTAGTTTTGAGCTAGTTTTGAGCTAGTTTTGAGCTAGCTTTGAGCTAGTTTTTGATCTAGTTTTCATCTAGTTTTCATCTAGTTTTCATCTAGTTTTTGATCTTTTCTATTGCTTACGACTAATTTTTTTCTCGTGTTTAAATAATTTATTAAAATTTGCATTAAAAAATTTTGAAATTGGTTAAATATATCCTTTCAAAGTTTCCACAAAGTTATATCATTGTACAGAGAACATTCCAGCCTTTCAAATGATACCAAATAAAGCTTGATTGGATAATCCAGTCCAAGAAAATCACAGCTAACTCTGAGCAAATGAGGCCTAGCCAACTCGGGTGTCTTGTCGCCTTGTTTGCATGGGAATGAAAAATCCAATCAAGCTCTATTTGGTATCATTTGAAAGCCTGAAATATCCTCTGTACAATGATATAAAATGTTAACAAAAATATGATCTCTGGACAAAGTTATAGGCCTTGAAAGCGTGATGACCCTTTCAAGATACTCGGCTTTATTCCAAATACCCGGAAACTACGCAAGAGCCGTATTTTTAATAGATTTTAACAAAGAAGTAACAAATTTGACAATTTTGACAAACGACAACGACAAGTGCTCAATTTCTTTTCGATTTTAACAAACAAGTGCCACAATTTCTTTTGAAACTGTTCTTTGACCATCCGCTTTTATTTGAAATTGATCCCTGCTCTTGTAAATTTGTAAATTCTGATTCCAAAATTTTTCCGAGAACTTTCTTTCCAACCTAATACAAAGCAAAAGAATCTCTATGTAAATGATTGGGGAGATGTTCTTTGTGCGGTCGCGTAATCGCTCGCGATCTGGCAAATGACCCTAGTAGAAGGTGCTTGGTTTTTGAAGAGTGTAAACTGTGCGTCGTAATCGTCTAATTTAAATCCAGGCTTCCAAATCCGTTCTGTGTGCGGCCGTGTAATCGCTCTCGATCTGGCAAATGACACTAGTAGAAGTCGCTTCCTTGAAGAGCGTAAGCCGTGCATCGTAATCGTCTAAAAACGAGGCTTCCAAATTCGTTCTTGGTACGGCCGCGTAATCGCTCTCGATCTGGCAAATGACCCAGGTAGAAGGTGCTTGCTTTTTGGAGTCCTTAGACCGTGAGTCGTAACATTTTTAACAAACAAGTGCCTCAATTTCTTTTGAAACTGTTCTTTGATCACTTTTCTTGACCGTCTTTACCCTTTCCCAATTTCGCGAATTTTTTTCATGTTTGTTTACCGTCTTTTTCACAGTACTTATATAAATACCCAGTTTTGCGCATTAGTCTAATCGCTATTAGTCGCCAAAATCTACAGTATACCTATCGTAAATACTGTAATAGTGCCCCCCATAATGACGGTGCGAAGCGTTGCGTGGTCTAACTTTGAACAAGTTTTTCTCGACACTGGTTTATGTTACAATGCGCGTTTAGGTGTCAAAAAATAGCCCTGAATTTCAGCTATTTTTTGACACCTAAGCGCGCATTGTAGCATAAACCAGTATCGAGAAAAACTCATTCAAAACTAGAGCTACGCAACGCTCCGCACCGTCATTATGCGGGTGGGGTACTATTACAGTATTTACGGTATAAACTTTAACAAAAGTGAAAACGCATACTTTCTAGTGCACTCAATTCTTGTAGTTTTAAGATGGCAAGTTCTGCAAAAGAAACCAAGAATTCAGTGCACTAGAAAGGGTTCGTTTGTGCGTTATCTTAGTGCCAAAAGTACCTTATCTTAGTGCCCAAAGTAAGCTCAAAAAAAGCCTAATCTAAGCGAGCACTTCCACATAGAAACACACCCTTTCTGGCATGGTTAAGCTTTATTTTGCAATAGCTTCAAACAGTCTACCGAAAAGGCTGTGTTTCCATGATCAGAGCACAATGCTGGTACAATTTTTCCCCAACTTTTCCCCAAATTACCCCCAAAAAACAAGTTCTTCAAGCGTTTCTGTGTTTTCCTTTTGTGTCTAACCTCTCATAAACTTCATTTTCAACCAGGTTCTTCGCCAAATTCGTTCTTTTTTTCTCTAATAAATAAGCTGTCTGCTTGTTTTCTTTTTCTAATCATCATTGGAAATGATTTTCAATGATTTTCAATGATTTTCAACGATTTTCAATGATTTCCAATGATTTCCAATGATTTTCAACGATTTTCAATGATTTTCAATGATTTTCAACGATTTCCAAAGATTTCCAATGATTTCCAATCATATCCAATGATTTCCAATGATTTCCAATGATTTCCAATGATTTCCAATGATTTCCAATGATTTCCAATGATTTCCAATGATTTTCAACGATTTCCAAAGATTTCCAATGATTTCCAATCATATCCAATGATTTCCAATGATTTCCAATGATTTCCAATGATTTCCAATGATTTCCAATGATTTTCAACGATTTCCAACCATTTCCAATAGTTTCCAAGCATTTCTTCACTTTCCCCATCATCTTTCCTTTAAATGTCATCTCTCTTCTTTTTCTCTCATCTTTTTTTTTTCATTGTTCTTTAAAGATTTTTGCGATTCTATATCTATTTTTAGAAGAGGAAAAGGCGGCTTTTTTTGGGGAAAAATCGGATTTGAGTTATCGGAGTGTTGAAGAGGATTCGAAGTGAAAGAAAGGCAATGAATCAGGTCAGTTCATTACAATCACTCAAAAAGATCTTTCTGCTTCAAATTTCTGAGTCAAAATCTCTTAAATTCAATGACTTTGATAGATTGCGATGAGCAAACAGCGGTAATATATTTGATTTATACTGTAGCACAAATAAATAGGGCTTTAGATTGGTAGTGTCGTCTAATTAGTAATTACAGTAATGTACAGTAATGTACAGTAATGTACAGTAGTGTACAGTTATGTACAGTTATGTACAGTTATGGACAGTAATGTACAGTTATGGACAGTAATGTACAGTAATGTAATTAGTAACTTGTTTTGTTGACTGTAACTATTGTAATCTGCTAAATAACTATTAAATCCATGATAAAGGCCATGATCTTTCAATAATAAGGCACTACGATTGTGTTTTCGTTTTGCTACTGCAATCAGGCTCATTCTTGTTATTAGAAATCAATTGGAGGTAAAATACAATATTTGATACAAATTGGGGGTAAAAATCTGCAATTTGAGGTGACCTGATCGGAAAATTCTTCATTAATCCTTGATCCTTGTCCTTGATCCTCGATCCTCGATCCTTGATCCTTGATCCATGATCCATGATCCTTGTCCTTGATCATTCATCCTCGATCCTTGATCCTCGATCCTTGATCCTTGTCCTCGATCCTTGATCCTTGATCCTTGCTCTTGATCCTTGATCCTCAATCCTCGATCCTCAATCCTTGATCCTAGATCCTTGTCCTTGATCCTCGATCCTTGATTAAACCAATGAGCTTTCACTACGAGATGTCAGTCCAGTGGAAGCGATGAGTTTCTTACCAGAGAACCCGTTAAAGTATCCCCAAAATAGGCTGTTAGATCAATTATTCACCTTTTTTTACATCAAACTTATATTATCATATTATTTAAGAGCTTACTGATCAAAAGAGTGATTTTCGAAGATTTTCTAAAGGCTGATCGACTGATGGTCGGTTTTCTTTGATTCGACCCAGGATCAAAGAAAGCTCACGAGCTAACTCACTATCCACTAGGCTATTGAGGCCCAGGGATTGGCCCGTGCGAACGCCTTAAGTAGGCCTGTTCGTGCGAACGCTTAGCTTGTTCACCGGTACAATTGGCGCAATTGGTCGAAAATTTGCAGGGTTATATCTCAAAAATGGCTTTTGATAGATAGGATTTGAAAGCAGTTTTAAAAGCAGCAGTTCAACCAGGGGTGTTCCTCGGAATCAGATCACTTTTGAAATAACTTCAAGGAATTCCCTGGTTAGAAATAGACACAGGTTTGAGCTTCATTTACTTGACAGTTGTTAGATTGTTAGCTGTAGTTGATTCTTAGCTGTAGTTGTTAGATTCTTAGCTGTAGTTCATGATTCTTAGCTGTAGTTCATGATTCTTAGCTGTGGTTCTTGATGCTTAGCTGTAATTGTTAGATTGTTAGCTGTAGTTGTTAGAGTTTAAGCCATACTCAAGTTCATTGCAATTGCCAAAATTTGAGATTGATAGATCAGCGCTTGTGAAACGAGCCCAATTGGATAGTTTACATCATGAAAAAAAACTTTTAAGCCCTAAATCTACCAGCCTTGACCAATTGCAGAGGTATGGGGATAGGTCGAGGTATCCCCATGCCTAGGTATTCCCATTCTGCATAAGCCTTGACCAACTCCAGTCTCGCTTAAGTTAAAAACCAAAGCTAAACACCCAATCCCTTTAACATTTCAAATTTCTACAGAATGCACAGTACCGTCCAAAGCAATATCAATCCCTCGCAAAAAAAACTCTATCTTCAAGCCCTTTTTTCAGTATGTAAACGTGAGAGTTCCCCTCGAATACATTCTAAAGAACTCTGAAGCATTCTGAAGCCTTCTGAAGCATTCTGAAGCATTCTGAAGCATTCTGAAGCATTCTGAAGCATTCTGAAGCATCCTGAAGCATCCTGAAGCATTCTGAAGCATTCTGAAGCATTCTGAAGCATTCTGAAGCATTCTGGAGCATTCTGAAGAATTCTGAAGCATTCTGAAGCATTCTGAATGATTCTGAAGGATTCTGAAGCATTCTCAAGCATTCTCAAGCATTCTGAAGGATTCTGAAGCATTCTGAAGCATTCTGAAGCATTCTGAAGCATTCTGAAGCATTCTCAAGCATTCTGAAGGATTCTCAAGCATTCTGAAGGATTCTGAAGCATTCTGAAGCATTCTCAAGCATTCTCAAGCATTCTCAAGCATTCTCAAGCATTCTGAAGCATACCAGATACATTCTGAAAGCTTAATTCAAAATCTAGCGAATGATCTATTTTGTATTTGAGTTGAGATTAGTTTTTGAAGCATTTCAACCCTTCAATTCAATTCAATTCAATTCAACCCTTTCAACCACTGGAAATTTCAACTTTCGGAATGAATTTCTCACTTTTTCATTGAATTTCAAAAAACTCCCACGTTTACATACCGAAAAAAACCGAAAAAAGGGGTTGAAGATGGGGTTTTTTTTGCACTGAAGCTTGAAGATGGAGGGATTGATATTATTTTGGTACTGTACATACCGGTACTGTCAATACTAATGAAGATTTTCGTCTTCATCGATGCACAGCGAAAATTCACTTCTTAAGCCCTTTAAAATCGTCTTTTTCGAATGTTTTTTTCACCATTTTCTCCATTTTCTCCATTTTCACCATAGAGCCTTTAAAATACTATCAAACGATAAGAAAACCGTTTGTAAAAGTTGATTAAAGCGGTTAAGACGACGCTTAAGTTGATTAAAGCGCTGAAGTCGACGCTGAAGTTGATTAAAGCGGTTAAGACGACGCTTAAGTCGATGCTTAAGTTGATTAAAGCGGTTAAGACGACGCTGAAGTCGATTAAAGCGCTTAAGACGATGCTTAAGTCGACGCTTAAGTCGACTAAAGCCTGAATTTCCGTTGTTCACCTATTGACAAACGTGGAAATGCAAATGTTTTGTAAATCCTTTGACCGTTTGCTCGATTCTGATCTTTCTGACCTTTCTTTTCTTACCGTATCCAATTCGCGCATGTTCACCCCCGAAAATCCACGTGTGTGCCAACACGGCTGATGCAATAACTTTCCCGACCATGATCAGACGCTCACGTTTCACTTTTCCTCAAGAAATTGAGGAAATTTCCCTTATTTTTTTTTTAAAAGATCACCGTGTTCTATGAGTACCGAGTGGCACTGGGAAAATGAAGAAAATGTCCGCAAAAGAAAGAGAAAGAGAGGAAAAGAGAGAAGGAAAGAAAGGAAGAAAGAAAAATGAATTCAAGAAATTCTTTTCCGACAAAATGTTTGTTGATAAACAGATCAAACAGATCAAACACTTTTAGCGGGGAAATATTTGTCGTGTTTATTTATTTGCGAATCACTTTTTGGTTCGCAAATAAGAATGAGAAAAGATCACGTTTAAGTCTAAAAGTGTGAACTTTCTTTGGAGGGAAATGGGGGAAATGAGAAGTTGAATTTGAGAGTTGAAATTGAGGCAAAGCTGAAGTCTGAGATTGAAATTGAGTCAATTTTGATATTTGAAAGTTGAAATTGAGTCAAAGCTGCAATTTGAAAGCTGAAATTGAGTCAATTTTGAAGTCTGAAAGTTGAAATTGAGTCAAATTTGAAATCTGAACTTTGAAATATGAAATCTCAAATTTAACCACTCAAATCGAATGTGTTCTAGCTTTTTTTTGTACACAAAAATGTTCGTTTTTTTAGAGTCGGAACAAAAGTGCAAACAAAACAAACAAAACAAACCAAAAGCCCCAAGATTTCTAGGCGGATTTCGATCGGGAGAATGGCTTCCGAATCGACGAGGAGATCCCGTTGTGGAGACAGGGTTTCGAGTTCTCCAAACAGTACACACGATCGTTTTGCTCGAAGCGAGGTGAAATCAACTTCATTATTTGTCTCTTATCAAGATTTAGGCCTTCTTAAAACCGCCAGAAGACGCGTCCCAGTGCTCTCATGGATTCCCAAATACAAGGTGCGAAATCTGATGGCCGACATCATTGCTGGCGTCACTGTGGGCATCTATAATGTGCCACAAGGTAAACATGTACTTTATAGAGGATTTGAGCACTTTATGTATATGTTACGTCCGAATGCAACCAGGCGTTCGGATCTGATCCGTCCGAATCCGACCAGAATGAGTGTGGTTGAATTTGGACGTCCGAATCCGACCACAAGGTATTCAATGGCTGGATTCGGACGTCCAGATCAGATTAGGACGTTCGGATCAGATTCTGACGTTCGGATCGGATTCGGACGTCCAGATCAGATTCTGACGTCCAGATCAGATTAGGACGTTCGGATCAGATTCTGACGTTCGGATCAGATTCTGACGTCCGGATCGGATTTAGACGTCCGGGTCCGACCACAGGATAATCATGGCTGGATTCGGACGTCCGGATCAGACTCAGACGTCCGGATCGGATTCAGCCGTCCGAGTTCGACCACAAGATCATCAATGGCTGGATTCGGACGTTCGGATCAGATTCTGACGTCCGGATCGGATTCAGACGTCCAAATCTGACCACAAGATAATCAAAGGCCGGATTCGGACGTTCGGATCAGATTCTGACGTCCGGATCGGATTCAGACATCCGGATCTGACCACAAGATATTCAATGGCTGGATTCGGACGTCTGGATCAGCTACTGACGTCCGGATCGGATTCAGACGTCCAAATCTGACCACAAGGTAATCAAAGGCCGGATTCGGACGTTCGGATCAGATCCGGACGCCTGGTCGGTTCTCTTTCTCTTTCTCTTTCTCTTTCTCTTTCTCTTTCTCTTTCTCAATCTCATTCTCAATCTCATTCTCATTCTTCAGGTATGGCCTACTCCGTTTTGGCCTCACTCCCCCCAGTCTACGGTCTCTATGCCTCTTTCTTCCCGCCACTCATCTACGCCATTTTGGGAACTGGATTCCATACGAGCATTGGTAAATTTTCAAAAATCATTTGCTTTAAAAACAGAAAAAATAGACAGCTTAAATGAATTAATAAATTTTGTTTGATCAGAAAAACATGACTTGACTTTCGCTATTTCTTTTGGGACAAGTAAATAGAGCAGTCAGAGTGAGAGATCAAAACAAAATTGGCACTTTTCGGAGATCAAGAATTAGATTTTTTGAAAGAAAATAGAGTTATTATAGTAAAAGTTATTAAGTAAAATGAAATGGAAAGTAATTTGAAAGTAATTTGAAACAAAGGCCAATGAAATAAAACGTTTTCCCAGAGTCGACTTTTCCTTTTCCTTTTCCAGGTGTATTCAGTATCACTTGTATGATGATCGGCCATGCTCGAACCTCGCTTCTTCCCGATGGATCCACTGAATACAAAGGAATTGAGAATCTTCATCCTGTTGATATCGTTGCCGCTTTATCGTTTACAACTGGGATTATACAGGTTGGCTGGGTAGCTACGGAGCTGGCTGGGCAGCTACGGAGCTGGCTGGGTAGCTACGGAGCTGGCTGGGCAGCTACGGAGTGCAGAGAATGAGAATGGCAATGGCAAGAATGCTAGTCCAATCGACTCTCGATTTAGCGATTCGTTCGGGAGGAAAAATCTCGATTTAACGATTCTAGAACAGAAAAGTGATTGATGCTAATGAGATCAATAGCACTTTCGAATTCACGGGATCGAACTCAATTAGCTGCCCTGAAATGTCAACAGTTGGTTGGGCAGCTACGGAGAAGCCAAAGGAGTGTTTAGAATTTCAAAATCATTGTATCAAGAGTCGTTAAATCGAGAATCAACTGTTTCTAGATTTCTAGATTTCTAGATTTCTAGTTTTCTAGATTTCTAGGTTCGTAGATTTCTAGATTTCTAGTCTTCTAGACTTCTAGACTTCTAGGTTTCCAGATTTCTAGACTTCCAGACTTCTAGTTTTCTAGATTTCTAGATGTCTAGATTTCTAGGTTTCTAGATTTCTAGGTTTCTAGGTTTCTAGATTTCTAGACTTCTAGATTTCTAGATTTCTAGGTTTCTAGGTTTCTAGATTTCTAGATTTCTAGACTTCTAGATTTCTAGATTTCTAGGTTTCTAGATTTCTAGATTTCTAGATTTCTATTGGGTTGATGCATAATTATCCGGACTTCTTTTTGCGTGCTTGTATCTTTTTTGTTTTGAAAGCTTTTTGTCTATTTCTTTTTTTAAAATATTCGTTATTCTTTAGTGAACAAAATGCGTGTCGACAATCATATCCATCTTCGCCATATCATGCTCTACCACTTCGAAAAGGGATGGTCTGCCGCAGAGTCGTTTCGCGATCTCAAAGAACTGGAGAAGCCCCAACGGACTACCACGTCAATCGATCGCTCAAAAATTGGCAAACAAATAAGATCTACAACGATTTGGATGACTTGATAGACGATGTTAAAGCGTGGATTGCCTCCAAAGATCGTTTATTCTTCGCTCGTGGAATCAGTTATTGATGTAGGCGGTGAATATGCTCCAGAATAATCAATTAAACATATTTTTCTAACTATTTATGTTATTTTTTGTTAAATAAAATCATTTATAAAAGAAGTCCGGATAATTATGCATCAACCCAATATATAGTTTCTACAGCCTCTAGAAGAAGATTTGATTCTTGTAAAGTCTATAAGCTTTTGAAATCCTTTGAGAAAACAAGCATTTCATTGTTTTCTTATTCAAGCGTTCAGTAGATAGAGTTTAAATGTGAAATGTGAAAGCTTCAACATTGAGCTTTTAAGGATATTTCTCGAAAACTCTTCGCAATCAATACCAAAATGGAGAATTTCAGTTAATCATGTGGTTGTTCCGTCTCGAGTTCCTCACTGCTTACATGTCGGATGCGGTTGTGAATGGATTCATGTTCGGAGCAGCCATCCATTCAGCTAGATCACAAGTAAACATTGAAAAAGAAGAAAAGAAGATCTCAAGAGCTATATCTAAAGCTAACTAGCTAACTGGCTAACTAGCTAACTGGCTAACTAGCTAACTAGTTAACTAGTTAACTAGCTGAGAAGATAGCTAGCTGAGAAGATAGCTAACTAGTTAGCTAGATAGCTAGCTGAGAAGATAGCTAACTATATCTAAAAGAGATAACTATATCCACCAAGCTATCTTCTCAAAACTAGCATAATCTTGAAGTGTTTAGTTGCCAGCTTTGCTAGGGATAAAAGTCCCCAATCGAGACTCCGAATTCTTCATGATAATCTATGTAAGTTTATAAAGCTTATGAAATTAATAGAAATCCGCATTACAGCAATTGATCGACATCTGTAAAGAGTTCGATCACGTCAATTGGAAAGTGCTATTGATCTCATTAACATCAATCACTTTTCTGTTGGGATCGCGATTTCTCTCGGATCGATACTGGCCATTCAAGAAGATCCCATTTCCATCGGAGCTCATTTTGGTGAGGAAAAGTTGAAGCTAAAATTGGATTTAAAGCTGGAATCCAAAGATCGAAAGATCTGGAATCAAAAGATCGAAAGGAATCGACAAATTTCAGCTAGTGAGTGTGACAATCTTCTCACATTTCTTGAAGATTCACGAGAAATGGAAGGTCAACATTATCAATGACATTCCAACTGGGTGAGTGCTTTGATCTAGCTTTGATCTAGCTTTGATCTAGCTTTGATCTAGCTTTAATCTAGCTTTGATCTAGCTTTGATCTAGCTTTGATCAAGCTAAACAAACGGGAAACTTGATCGAATGATCTCAAGAATGGTTGAAAGTGATTTATTTGATTAGCTTGATCAAAGGAACGATAAAGGAACTTTAAAGGAACTAAATAGGAACTATTAGGTTGATGCAAAAGTCTTTTTCATTTTTTTCGTACTTCTTTTGAAAAATAACAAAGTCATCAATTAACCTATGGTTTGCTCTAAATGAAAAGTGTTTATTGTTCAATTTCCCATCTTTTTAAGTCAATTTGGGTTCACTTTCAAGCAAATTCGAGAGTGAAAACGGGTTTTTCATAAAAATCTATAAAAACCTCTATAAAGAAATTGGCTGAATCAATTTCTCTGAAAATCTGAAAAAATATCTAACTTTTTGTGCTCTATCTTTTATTTATTAACATCAAGATTGGTTTCCTTAGCTAAAGCGTCTAAAATGCATCATCGAGCCGTCGCCTTTTTTGACTACCCGACTTCAGGCTCTCAAAAAAATCTAGACATAAGACATTTTAAACTCGTTTTAATGTCATTTTGCAGAAAAATAATTGGCCTTTCGAATGCAATAAACCGTTGTTCAATTGGTGCATTTGTTACTTTTTAACGGAAGTACGAAAAAAATGAAAAAGACTTTTGCATCTACCTAATATAAAGGAACTATCAAGGAACGCTCATAAATAGAAGGCTTTCTGAAGTATTGAAGTATTTAGAGAGACAATAAGCTTTGATTATTGAGAAATTGTTTATCGACAAGGTGTACTTTGTGCTTATCAGTTGAAACGCACTAAATCCAATGCATTAAAGTCTTGAATTGATATAAGTCAAGACTTATATCAAGTCAAGACTTAAATCAAGATTTAAATCAATATAACACTCTACAAGATCTAATCATCGAATCGAATCAGTTTCCCTCCATTCCACTTCTCAAATCTCAAACTTTCTCCCTCTTTCCCCCTATTTCTCCTTTCCTATTTTGGCGAATTGCCACTGCTCTGCAGTTAATCAAAATTGAATACGCAAGTTAAAATTCAAAGTTGATGGATAAACTACCGTAATCAGTCACTAGACGATATTCAGTTGTCCGTTTGTCGTAGCTTGTGTACTTAAAAACCCATTATTTAGTCAGATAATGGTCAGTTTGAGTCAATCGTGGGCTCCTTTTTTTCACACGCAAGTGTTGAAGTAATTGTGATAGTGCCAGGTTGCTCCAGTTTGCTCAGGCTCAGGCTTAGGCTCAGGCTTAGGCTTAGGCTCAGGCTTAGGCTTAGGCTTAGGCTTAGGCTCAGGCTGAGGCTCACGCTTAGGCTTAGGCTCACGCTTAGGCTTAGGCTTAGGCTTAGGCTCAGGCTTAGGCTCAGGCTTGGACTTAGTGCGTAGGCTAGCGCTAGCGCCTAGCACTAAGTCTATTGGGGTTTGGGCTGAACCCCCATTTTCTGGATCTTAGCCAGTTCTCGGAGCTAAGGGACACCCGTTTGGTGGTGTGCATGCGCCCCCCATCGAAGCATCTTGACAAAATTTCAGGTCATTCTCGTTTAGGCTCAGGCTTAGGCTTAGGCTCGGGCTTAGGCTTAGGCTCAGACTTAGGCTTAGGCTTAGGCTTAGGCTTAGGCTTAGGCTCAGGCTTAGGCTTAGGCTTAGGCTTAGGCTTAGGCTCAGGCTTGGACTTAGTGCGAAGGCTAGCGGCTAGCGCCTAGCACTAAGTCTATTTGGGTTTGGGCTGAACCCCCATTTTTTGGATCTCATCGAGTTCTCGGAGCTAAGGGACACCCGTTTGGTGTTGTGCTTGCGCCTCCCAGAGGAGCATCCTGGCAAATTTTCAGGTCGATCTCGTGTCTGGAATTTGAGATCTGACAAGTCGATTTTGGGATAGGCTTAGGCTCAGGCTCAGGCTCTAATAACTGAACCACACCGATACACCGTCTCGCAAGAAAGAGAAATTATAAAGATTATAAAGATCAAAGTATAAAGTATATTTCTTACACCTATGGTCTTTCAATTGCTGTTGTCGCTTTCAATATCAATCATTTTAGACTTTAAACAGCACAAAGCAAATCTCAAAGAGTCATTCGAGTACTCAAAATTGAATCAAATTGAGAAAACATTCATTATAAATTCCCGATTTCAGTTTCCCTCCATTCCACTTCCCAAATCTCAAGCTCTTCCCTCACCTCCTTTCCTATGGCCTTTCAATTGCTGTCGTCGCTTTTGCCATCACTGTGTCAATGGGGAAAATGTTCGCGAAAAAGCATGGATACACAATAAATCCAAATCAAGTGAGGGTTTAGAAAAAAAAGAAATAAAGCTAAACCCCATCTTTTCAGGAGCTTTTAGCCTTGGGTACTGTATCTGTTTTCTCATCGATGTTCAATGTTTTCCCGACAAGTTGCTCCCTTTCAAGAACCCTTGTCAATGAGGCTTCGGGCGCAAAATCACAAGTAAGTCTAAAGGGTTTAACAAAAAGATAGAAAAGTTGAATTAGAGTTGAATTAAAGTTGAATTTTGAGTCCCAACTTCAATTTTTGATTGGAAAGTCTCAAGTTTTTTGAACCAAATTCACTCTTTGTATCAAATTTTGTTACCTGTCAAAGCAGTCAGAGCAGTCAGAGCAGTCAAAGCAGTCAGAGCAGTCAAAGCAGTCAGAGCAGTCAAAGCAGTCAGAGCAGTCAAACCAGTCAAAACCATTCAAAACCAGTCAAAACCAGTCAAAACCAGTCAAAACCAGTCAAAACCAGTCAAAACCAGTCAAAACCAGTCAAAACCAGTCAAAACCAGTCAAAACCAGTCAAAACCAGTCAAAACCAGTCAAAACCAGTCAAAACCAGTCAAAACCAGTCAAAACTTTCAATAGCAATTGAAAAATAACCCAGAAATCGGCAAAAAACTCGAAGATCTAGTTGGCGGGATCGAACCCTTTGCCTCACCTCTAACTCCCGTGTGAGAAACAGGGCTCTTAGCCACTAGGCCAGGGGGCTGGGTTGAGAGGGCGGAATAAATTAGGTTTAAATCCTAAAGCGATTCCTTTTTGTTAAAAGCGCCTTTTTAAGCTTTAAAATCGATCGTACCATTCATTTTTTAGATTTCTGGTGTCATTTCAGCGTCAATTACATTGGTTGTCATTTTGGTTGTTGGCCCACTTCTTGAGGATCTTCCAATGGTAAAAGAAATTGAAAAGAAATTGAAAAGAAATGGAAAATAAATGGAAAATAAATGGAAAATAGATGAAAAGCCTAATAAATGTTATTAAATGAAAATGTTTTAGTGTGTCTTGAGCTCAATTGTCATCGTGGCACTGCGATCTTTGATGATGAAAGTGACCGAAGTCGGACCGTTGTACAAAATCTCAAAAATTGATGCGGTAAGTTAAACGAGTAAACGTTAAGCGGTAAGTTGTCTTGCTTACTTTCCATACGAATTGTACACATGTACATTTCCTTATGTACATTTCCATAGGTACATTTCCACATGTACACTTCCACATGTACATTTCCAGATGTACATTTCCATAGGTACATTTCCACATGTACATTTCCATAGGTACATTTCCACATGTACATTTCCATAGGTACATTTCCACATGTACATTTCCATAGGTACATTTCCACATGTACATTTCCATAGGTACATTTCCACATGTACACTTCCACATGTACACTTCCACATGTACATTTCCACATGTACATTTCCACATGTACATTTCCACATGTACATTTCCTTATGTACATTTCCATAGGTACATTTCCATAGGTACATTTCCATAGGTACATTTCCACATGTACACTTCCACATGTACATTTCCACATGTACATGTACTGAACTTTTCTAACCAAACAGTACTTTATAATCAATATTTCTTAAGTTTATTAACAATATTGAAACTTTTTTTAATGAAATTTCACAAGAATACAGTAATGTGGACTTGATTACGGTAATCGGCATCTGTTTTTCAACTCTAATCTAGCATACTGTAACTATAGGGTAACAGACTTACGGTAGTTGTCGTATTCTGTCGTTTTCTTGCCTACGACGCTTACAAGTTCTCCAAGTGTCAGCTTACTTTAGAAATGCTGAGCTAAACGATGCTTTAACGATCATTTTACCGTTTTACTTCAAACTAGAGTGTGCTCCTTGTTGACAGACAATTTGTCAGACAAATTTTCATTGACAACTTTTTTGTCAGACAATTGATCCGACAAACTTCCGACAACGCGTTTTCTAAAAGGTGCGCTTTTTAAGCAAAGCTATAAAGGTCGCGCGAAAAAAATTTGCAAACTTTTCTTAAAATATAGTAATGGATAGTTTTATTTAAGGATTTAGGTTTTTTAGGGCGTGCAATTTTTTTTTGAATAGTTCTAGTGCGAATGTAGACAATAGGCCTGGTAAATTCGTAAATAATATCATTTTTTTATAGTGTTTCTTAACTTTTCCCGTTTTAAATGTTTTCTTTAATTTTAAATAGCATTTAAAAATTTTTAAGTTTTAGCGAAAGAGTAATAGAGCTAAGGAAAGAGTAATAGAGCTAAGGAAAGAGTAATAGAGCTAAGGAAAGAGTAATAGAGCTAAGGAAAGAGTAATAGAGCTAAGGAAAGAGTAATAGAGCTAAGGAAAGAGTAATAGAGCTAAGGAAAGAGTAATAGAGCTAAGGAAAGAGTAATAGAAAAAAAGAGCGCAAGATTTTAATGTACATTTGCATTTTGAAAAATTTGCTGATGCAAAGCATAGGGTTACGGTAGCTTATCCTTGGCGCGCGCTTTTTAGAAAACGCGTTGTCTGCAAGGAACACACTCTACTTCAAACTCTTAGAAGGGAAAATCCCAGAAAAGGAAAGCTAAGCTGGCCCTTTGTCTGATCTAGTCAAGCTGGCCCTTTGGCTGATCTAGTGAAGCTGGCCTTTTGACTCGAGAACAATCCATCTTCTAGAGTCGGCCATGATCTCGAATCCGTTTGTAGTTTTGCAGAAAGCTGCAAGCGCCAAATATCCTTTCGGACTCCTTAACAAGCCGCCACACACCGCCTGAAAACAACTTTTTCGGTGGCCTAGTGGATAGTTGGCCAGACAATCGAAGCTGTTACATTTCTTGCCCTCAAGCTCAAGTCCCACTCTCGCCAAACCTTTTTACTTTTCCGAACAAACTGCTTGCCTACTTATTTCTGAAACTTACAAATGCATAAATTCAACACTATTATTCATGCTAAATACGTAGGGGAACAGTTTTTAAAAAAGCAAAAAATGGTTTGACGAGAGTGGGACTCGAACCTCAGGCAAAAAGTGTCATAGGTTCCGTGGTCTAGCAGACTATCCACTAGGCCACCGAAGCAGTTGTTCGGCTTCTTAAGGAGTCCGAAAGGATATCTCGCGCTTGCGAAGCTTTCTGTGAAACTAAAAACAGACTCGAGATCATGGCCGACTCTATAAAATGGACTTGGACTTGAGTCAAAAGGGCCAACTTCAAAAGGCCAGCTTCAAAAGGCCAACTTCAAAAGGCCAACTTCAAAAGGCCAGCTTCAAAAGGCCAACTTCAAAAGACCAGCTTCAAAAGGCCAGCTTCAAAAGGCCAGCTTCAAAAGGCCAACTTCAAAAGGCCAACTTCAAAAGGCCAGCTTCAAAAGGCCAGCTTCAAAAGACCAGCTTCAAAAGGCCAGCTTCAAAAGGCCAGCTTCAAAAGGCCAGTTTCAAAGGGCCAGCTTCGAAAGGCCTTTCCCTTGTTAGAAGAATAGTTAGACTAGAGTTAGCTCGATCATCATGCTCGATCAATTCCTTCAATCCTCAATTTCCTTTAGGCAATCTGGGTGATCACGGCCATTTGCGTACTCGGCTATGATATAGTTGAAGGTCTCGTTGCTGGCGTCGTCCTCGCCGTCCTCAGTGTCATTGCCCGGACTCAATGGTTGGGGAAAAAAGTCTTTATTTAAACGAAATTTTCAATCCCAATTTCAGTGACATTGGTCTCAATATAGCTGGCTCTTTTAGGTTCTCAAAAAAAAGCTTTTTTTTTCGGGTTATTTGAGTTAAAAAACTATCTAACTTTCGATTTTCGGAATTATCTAACAAAATAAAGCTTTGGATTTGTAAAATCTAGCTTTCTCTAGCTTTCTTTAAAACTAAACTTTTCAGGCCTCCAATGAATGAAATGGGTCGTCTTCCGTGTGGGGATTTTCGTGTGGCCAATCGTTTCTCAGCCGCTATTCCGCCAATTGTTCCCGTTATCAGGTAAAAAGACAGAGTGCGTTTCTACTTTCCAGCACGAAGTACACTACAAAGCCAAGTGTGGCGATGGTTGAGTGCTTGTGACGATTGACTCTAGAACGGTAGAATCAATCCCAGAAATCGAAGGCTCTGCCGTTCGAATCCTCTTGATTTTTCAGGTCAAAGAATCAAGCATCTCTAAAGTTACCTTACAGATTCGACGCCCCGTTGATCTTCACGAATGTTGAGCGCTTCAAGCGAGCAATTCGACACGAGATTCACACACTTTCAAGAGGTAAATCAAAGCACGAAAACCTAGATGTTAAATTCATTTCATTTCGTTAAATCCCGGATCCATTTCACTGGCAAAGATCGAAAGCCTGTCTCCTAAAAAATTGGTTTTAATTTGATTGATTTGATTGGTTTTGATGTGATCCGTAATCCGTCTGTTTGATCTGATCCGTAATCCGTTCGTTTGATCTGATCCGTAATCCGTCTGTTTGATGTGATCCGTAATCCGTCTGTTTGATGTGATCCGTAATCCGTTCGTTTGATCTGATCCGTAATCCGTCTGTTTGATGTGATCCGTAATCCGTCTGTTTGATCTGATCCGTAATCCGTCTGTTTGATCTGATCCGTAATCCGTCTGTTTGATCTGATCCGTAATCCGTTCGTTTGATCTGATCCGTAATCCGTTCGTTTGATCTGATTCGCCATCCGTCCGTTTGATCTGATCCGTCTAATCAATCCCTTTTTTCACACCATCTTCAGAATCAAAGCGCTTATTGGCCAAGCCATTGCTCATCAAAGGAATAAGTAGTAGTCAAAAGGTGCAAGATCAGAACTGGATGGGTCATCATCTCCCATCCAAGTGAGATTCAAGTATCGTGACTAAATACCGTAATCTAACTATTCTAGACTGAATATCCTATTCTAGATTGAATGCCGTAATCCTAACAGTCTAGACTGAATACTCTAATCCAGACTGAATACTATGATCTAGACTGAATACTCTAATCTAGACTAAATAACGTAAT